AAGTTGGGGCTCATCACAGGGGCCTGGAGTGTGGTACTCAACCCACTAGTAACTGGCTACTTGGGAACAGGTCCTGGACGGGGGACAATATGTGTGACGAGGACTCAAAGAGGAACAATTCAGAAGTAGCAGCCGCCTCTAGGGGCAAGGGACGCTGAGTGGAAATGGATGACTCTGACTCTGCCAGGCCCCCAAGAGGGCTAATCCACCACAACTCAGGAGGCCTGGCCCAACGCAGAAGCCACTCGTGGGAAAGGCTACACCCAGAGAGGACAGTGTCCTTGTATGAAGAAGTCAGTGGAGGACAAGGGCTGGTACACCTGCCTGACACACCTCAGCTTGCTCCCGACTGCTTCTGGCCTTTTTTTGTCCTAAGTGCCTGCCGTAGGCTGTACGCAGCCCTCTCCTGGGGTGAGGAAAAGCTCGCTACTGATCAGGAGAAATACCACCACCATGACCCAGTTTTGGAGTGTTTCCCTGAGATAATTTCTGAGAGAGGAACATGTTCACGTCTGGAGAGGCAGCATCAGGGCCCTGCCATACCACGCTGAACCCACTAGGGGCAGCACTGAACGTTCAGTTTCAGCGGATGGGAAAGCTGGCTGGAAACGGGAAACGGGGGCTTTGCGGGCCAGAGCTCCATCAAAGGCAACTGCCAACTGCGGAGTGGAGAAGGTACCACTTGGAGTGTCATCCTTCGAGTTGTCTCATTTCATCATCACAAAACCCTAGCACCTCGTGTGTGCGTGTGTGTGTGTGTGTGTGTGTGTGTGTGTGTGTGTGTGTTACTGGAGATAGAATTCAGAGCCTTCAACCTGCTAGGCAATGGTGGCTCTTTATGCCCAGGTACTGTGCCACCACCACACCACACCACACACACACACACACACACACACACACACGTTTTGTTTTAGTAGACAGAGTTTAGGTGTGGTCTTGAAGTTTAGGCGTGGGCTCAAGTGATTCCCCTGCCTCAGCATCCAGAGAACCCGAGACTGTTGGCACAGGACACAGTTCTCCAACTCACACAGCCTGTTGATTTCAGCCAGGTGCCCGCTGTTCAGATGGACAGGTTGTAAACCAGCAGAGGGCGCCAAACACCAACGCCGTCCGTTCTGTTTGCTTGTCCAGGGAGGATCTTTTCCGGATTTGAGCAGACACCACACACTCCTTCAGCTAACTGCTCTGGGGTGCAAGGCAGTACTCTCAGACAAAGGGGTGCCTTCCCCAAAATACAGCATTTAGTAGCTATAGTGATGACCACCTTCATTTTGGGGGCGGCCAGGAAGCTTTCTTGATACCTTGCAGCAAAGGTGAGGTGAAATGTTGTCTTTCCAAGCAGGAGCCCTAAGGCTTAGCGGACATTTAGAAAAACTACTGGTGTCAGCTATATTGGTCACCATTTGGAGAAGGAGGAGAGGCACGCCCCAGCCCGTGAGAGGGAGGGCAGAGAGGAGTGGCCCTGAAGGAACCAGACACGTGGGCATCTCTGAGGAGGTCAGGTGTCAGAATCAAGCTTGTTTTTCTCATGAGAGTAAAACCTCTAGTGATGACCGACAGCAGAATGGCCAGAGCACTTGAACTGGTTCATGCAAATCATCCCTTTGGGCAAGTGGATCTCTGTGAGGTCAAAGCCAGTTTGGTCTGCTTAGTGAGTTCCAGAACAGGCAGGACTACATAGTGAGACCCTGGTTAAGACAGACAGACAGACCAGACAGACAGACAGACAGGAAGAATGAACCTCTTTGAGGCTTTAAATTTCTTTGAATGTAGGGTTTTTGAACAGTAGATCCACAGCACTTAGGAAAAAAGACCAGCACATAGTAGGCGTTCAGCAATCAGCACATAGTAGGTGCTCAGCAAACATTTGCTGAATGCATAGATACTTTGATCTCTTGACAAAGAAGTTCTGTGTTGCTTATTTGGTAAATATGTAGAGAGACAGCCCATGACATACTGGCTGGGTTGCCTATTTAACATATCAAGGCAGATGCTGGCCAGCTCTCCCAGCATCCCTCAGTACCTGTGGCTTCTCCCAGCACTTCTGCCCCCTACCCTAACTTCCCAGGGCCTGGGCTTCCCTTTCCCTAGCCTGATCCCTATATAACTTAGCCATTTGGCTACACCAGTCTCTTGGCCTCTTGACTGGGTCATCTTCGTCAGGGGCTCCTCTCTTGTTCTCCCTCCTCTCTCTCCTTCCACGGTCCAGTTTAGTCTGTCACCCACCGTCAGCCTGGACTCTCTCTTCCCTCTGTCTGCTTTCTCCCTTATATCTACAATAAAAATCTTCTCCATACTTTAGAGTAGGCAGGTCCATCTTTTATTTCATTTTTGCATTCACCATGAAAGCCAGGAGTAATAAACCTGGCTCCTGGGCAGTGGGGACACCAGAGAATCTTAGTAAAAGTCTGTGCAGCATCACTGGCTGCCCCACAGTGGTTAGAAACCTCTGTCCCACTGTCCTGGGGCACCTGTTGGGATAGGACCACTGCCCCCAGTTACCTGGCCTTCCTCCCACTCAAGGGATGGAGAAACTACTTCCTTCCTGGAGCCCATGAGGCCAGAGTGGTTCACTCCGGCTTCCTCCGCTGGGTAGAGCCGCCCCACCTCTAACTAGATCTTTTGATATCCAACTCCCCCAGGAGACAGAGCCGCCTTTTAGCATCTATGTCTTTATATTATTTAGTCTCTCACTAGATGCAAGCCCCGAAGCAATAAAAACTGCTTGGCTCACAGCAGCACCTTTAACAACGTTGGAAAATTCATCCGTGCTAAGTATACAAGCCAAGCTTTAAAAATAAACTTGCAGGTATGTAGTCCATTTTCACAGCCCCAGAAAGATCCCTTCGGTTCCTCACACTGTATCTCTTTCTCTCTATCTCCCGCCTCTCAGCCTTGCTCCCAACCACGAATCTACTTTCTGTTGTAAAATATTTGCCTCTTCTGGACGTTTCATGCAAAGGAAACCGTGTGAGACAGAGCCTGCAATGTCTAGCTCACTTCACTTAGCATACGTTTTAGGCTTGAGCCATGCGGTATGCGTGAGTAGTTCACCCTGACTATGCCATTATCCCAATGCATCTGGCTGTGGAGGGGTCATTTCCACTTGTGATCCGAGGTCACTGGGGCTGGGATGAGGAGGTTGTGTGAGCCGGTGTTTCAGAATGTACACGTGTTCGAGTCTCTTCAATAAATATTCATAGTGGAATTATTGGTATTGTGTGAATGTATGTTCAACTTTTTTTTTGGGGGGGGGGTTCGAGACAGGGTTTCTCTGTGTAGCTCTGGCTGTCCTGGAACTCACTCTGTAGACCAGGCTGGCCTCGAACTCAGAAATCCGCCTGCCTCTGCCTCCCAAGTGCTGGGATTAAAGGCGTGCGCCACCACCGCCCGGTGTACGTTCAACTTTTTAAAGACACCACCATATTGATTTCCAAAGTGACTACCCCATCGTGTGTGTTCTCCTCAGCCATCAACAAACACTGTGGTATCCCTCCATCTTTGCCAGAATGTGCAGCTCTCTGGTGTTGTGCTGATAGCCGTTCTAGTGCGCCAGTGTTGGTTTCGTGCTCTCTCCCATAAGTATGTGAGCAAAAAATGATAAACAGAGCCGGGCGGTGGTGGCGCACGCCTTTAATCCCAGCACTTGGGAGGCAGAGGCAGGCGGATTTCTGAGTTCGAGGCCAGCCTGGTCTACAGAGTGAGTTCCAGGACAGCCAGGGCTACACAGAGAAACCCTGTCTCAAAAAAAAAAAAAAAAGATAAACAGAGCCAGATGTGGAACTTGTACCCTCACCCCACCCCCATGATGCCTAAGAAAGAAGAGGACCTGGAGAGTCACTTCTCTGTCATGAGCAAAAATGATGGCGGACATAAAACAGTGGCACCCTGACGGCCTGTTGTGGATTATGCCCCCACCGAAAGATAACTGCTGTCACCATTGTCTGCACCTCTACCATCACCTTCACTACCGTCATCCCAGACGATGGGACAGACTCTATTCTATGTACTTAGCATGTTTTATTTTATTTGAGACAGGCCTTCATTTAGCCCAGGCTAGCCTCAAACTGTGTGTAGCTAGGAACTGATGATGACCCTGAGCTCCCGATCTTCCTCCTAACTTCTGGATTACAGGTATGCACCACCACACCTGCTCTATGTGCTGGGGGACTGGAGCTCAGGCCTTCAGGCAGGATCGGCAAGCGCTCTACCCACTGAGCTAACAGCCCAGTCTAAGTGTTCTTTCCACTGGGCTACATCCCGGCCAACATGCTTTAATCTATGAAATGGACTTCTATCGGTACCTCTGTTTTATAGAGTGGGAGACACAGGGTTGAACTCATTCCTTCCCAGATCACAGAGTTAGCAGGAAACGGAGTTGGCTGTAGAGACCAGCCCTCCATTTGTGCCTCCCACTCCCCACTCAGACGGGAACTAGATATGCATGGTTCTAAAGAGGCACGCGGAGATTCAAGTGAAGGAGATAAAGGCAAAGCAGGATGAAGGAAGGTCCTCCCCAGGATCGTCTGCGGAGACACACACATCCTTGGAATTTGTCCTTTCTTTTTGCATATGGACACAGCCCTGACAGCTAGCTCAAAGCATCTTTTGTGCAGCTCTGCGGCCAGTGACGTCATAGGCATCATTAAGACTTTATCCTTTCTGCTGGACAGATAGCTCACTGCCCTGGTGCTGTAGAAGCCAGCAGGGTGCTGGGCGGCAGAGTGCCAGTTCTCCAATACACGCGGTGAGTGTGGGGCTGAGGCTTACACACAGAGGTGTCACCTAGGTGATGTTTGCACTGGATGAGGGACAGGAAATCAAAGAGGTAGGAAGGACCACCTTGCTGGGGATTGCATGTGGGGACATGGTGGTGGGGTGTAGACAATGTTGACAACAGTCTTGCCTGATGGGTAAGAGTCTTCCGGTGAGGGAACCGGAAGAGTCCCCAACTCCCCAACACTATCCTATTCCTCTCTGTCTCCCTAGCATCTGCGACCATGGGGACAAGCTTCTTTCCTGGCAGTCATTGGCTTTTCTTTTCCGTGTACCTGTTGGTGTTCCTCGTGGGACTCCCCCTCAACGTGATGGCCCTGGTGGTCTTCGTGGGCAAGCTGCGCCGCCGCCCGGTGGCCGTGGACTTACTTTTGCTAAACCTGACCATCTCGGACCTACTCCTGCTCCTCTTCCTGCCGTTTCGCATGGTGGAGGCGGCCTGCGGCATGAGATGGCTTCTGCCCTTCATCCTCTGCCCTCTTTCTGGGTTCCTCTTCTTCACCACCATCTATCTTACCTCCCTCTTCCTGACGGCTGTGAGCATCGAACGTTTTCTGAGTGTGGCCTACCCACTGTGGTACAAAACCCGGCCCCGGCTGGCCCAGGCCGGTCTGGTTAGTGGAGTCTGTTGGTTCCTGGCATCAGCTCACTGTAGTGTGGTTTATGTCACTGAATACTGGGGAAACGCAACCGACAGCCAGGGGACCAATGGAACCTGCTACCTGGAATTCCGGGAGGACCAGCTGGCTGTCCTCCTACCTGTGCGACTGGAGATGGCTGTGGTCCTTTTCATGGTGCCCCTGTGTATCACGAGTTACTGCTACAGTCGCCTGGTGTGGGTTCTGAGCCGGGGAGCCAGCCGGCGCCGGCGCAAGAGGGTGATGGGGCTTCTTGCAGCTACGCTGCTCATCTTCTTCGTCTGCTTCTGCCCCTACAATATGTCCCATGTGGTGGGCTACGTGCGCGGTGAGAGTCCATCCTGGCGGAGCTACGTGCTCCTTCTCAGCACCCTCAACTCCTGTATTGACCCTCTGGTTTTCTACTTTTCGTCCTCCAAGTTCCAAGCCGACTTTCATCAGCTCCTGGGGAGGCTGATCAGAGCTCGCGTGCCTTGGACTCGGGAAGTCAGCTTGGAACTGAAGGTAAAGAACGGAGAAAAGCCATCCAAGGAGTGTCCGAGCTAGAGAAAAGAGTGGAGCGGAGGAGGGTGTGGAACCATGGGCCCAGTGCTTTGGCTGGCAGAGAGCTCTCCAGAGGCAGGAAGGCGTAGACAGGTGTGTGTGTGTGTGTGTGTGTGTGTGTGTGTGTGTGTGTGCAGGTCATTCCCTAGCTCAGACAGACTAGAGTGCACTGCGACAGGCTGAAGACATTGCTGTCGCTCAGATTGCCCTGGGCGTGCTCATTCGGGACTTTCCAGGTTGCCCCCCTTCCTATCCTGAATTCCATTCTGAAAAGTTGTGGAGGTGAGGGATTTCTCTAGAAGAAAGAGCCAAGCCTCTGCCTTGGCGAGCCAGCACCAGAGCCTCCCTGGGTGGAAAAGGGAGGGGATTGCCCCAGGGCCAGAGCTGATCCAGGGACTTGGGGTGGGGGAGGGGTGCGAGCCGCTGACTCCTCCTAGCTCCTCAGAATTGCAGAGTGGGGGTGGAGTGTTGGAGGGCGAGGGACAGCCTGCCCTTGTGAGAGTTTCCCAGACAGTTCCTACTCTTCTGTAAACTCACGTCTTCTGGGATACTTATGAACAATGGCAGACAATGAGAAAAATTATCCAAATAAATTCAGTACCTAGGAAAAAGAAAATAGTATTTTTTTTACTCCTTGTTTTTTCTGGGTAGGGTATGTGGTGGATGGGAAGGACCACTCACAATCTGAAGGAACGGAATGGAACAAATGCCCAGGTGCCTGCAAAGGATGGGGCTGGAGGGATAAAACTATTATAGTTTTACCTTTTTAAAAAAAATTTAGGGCTGGGGACGTAGCTCATTTGGTGACTGAAAATGGGCTTCTATGGATGAAAAAAGGAAAAGGTGTATTCCAAACTGCCAAGACTGTCTCCCTGGAAAGCAAGGAGATGGGGCAGGGAAAAGGTTCTCAGGGTTAAATGGGACCTGGAGAAAGAGACTGTGGGGGAGCTCATGCCCCAGCCCAGCTCCTCAGCCAAGAGCGAACCTAACACAGGGCATGAAGCAGGGGCGAAGATGCAGATGTGTGCTCTCCAGTGCCTAACAGGATGATTTACAAGGCTGGAGAGCTGGGCTTTGGGGCTTCCACTCCCAGGCGCCTCTACCCTTTCTGCAAAGTGTCTGCTGGAGCAGCTCTCTGCCTAGACCTCAGTCGTCTTTCCAACTCCTGGCTGTGGTTCCTAACTCTCCCCACGCTGTGACTCTTTAACGCACTTCCTAGTGTTGTGATGACCCCCGACCATAAAATTATTTTGTTGCGACTCCAGACTGTAATGTCGCTACTGTTACGGGTCATAACGTAAGTATCCATGTTTTCCCACGGTTAGGTGACTCCTGTAAAAACAAGGGGTCTCCACCCACAGGTTGAGAACTGCTGCCTGAGAAATCTTCCTCAAAGTCATTGCCAAAGTAAGTCCAGGCAGTAAATAGAGGTAGATACCTGTCAGGATCCTAAATTCAAGGGTAGCCTGGGCTACAGATTAAGACCCTGTCTCCAAATAAAATAAGGGCTGGGAATAGAGCCCCAACATGGATCCCTGACCTAACAAGTACAAGACTCTCAATGTGATCTTCATAATGGCTAAAAAATTAAAATAACTCTTACTTATGTAAGCATTTCTTCTAGGCTCCACCCAACAGTTACCTAACAATGGCCAGGTACAAACCTGGCTTGCTATAAAAGGACTGTTTGGCCTCTCTCTCTCTCTCTCTCTCTCTCTCTCTCTCTCTCTCTCCTTTCTCTCTCCCTCCCACTCTGTCCCCCTCCCTTCTCCCTCCCTGTGTTCCTAGCCAGCTTCTTCCCTTCTCTCTCTCTCTCCTTCTCTGTCGCCTCTCTTTTCTCTGCCTCCACTCCTTTCTCAACCCCACTTCTCGTGCCCCCAAATAAGCGTCATTTTATAGTATACCTGTTGTATGTCTGGTACTCAGGGGGATGCCTCAGCATCCGATAAGGCACCCCCTCCTGCAGCATCACACCGTGTTTCACAAAACACATCAATGATCCCAAGACCCAGATTCATAAACTTGAAGGTTCATGGTCTTGCTGCTGCATGGACTTTCCAGCCATTGGATTGCTAAATCTCTCCATCGGAACATCAGTGATTTGGTAATCTACCCCACTGGTCAGTGTAAACAGCCCCTAGTCCTGAGGGAGAACTGTTGACCAGTCACCCTCTGGTGTCCTTGGGGATGGAGGTATTCACAGTCTTCATGGCTAGCCTTTCTCATTGATGACCTCTTCCCTTGGGTGAGATTTCTCTCTTCTTGAGACAGGGCTCCTCCATTTTTTTTTTCTCAAAAATCCCAGTACTGAGTGATCTGGTCTCTCTTGGGGGCCAGCCCCCAGCCCCTAGTTGCCACATAATGACCTGGTAATCTAACCTGTGCTGCAGGTTCTGTTATTAGTCTATCCTTGGGTCACCTATGAATAAAAATAATAACTTTTATTCTCACTCAGTGGGTACCTCCTCTTCACCATCACCTCCAGACTCCCTACTGGGATGCCTTGTGGACTGGAAGGCTTCCAAATTCACACACTAAATCTGGCCCCAATACCCACTCTAAATGGCTACTTAACGACACTTTTAAAGAAACGTTTACAACTCTTGTCAGTGATCCAGAAAAACGGAAGGTCTTCTATGTACAAGCTTTTCCCTACCTTCACCCCAAACCTCCTTATTCCTCCTGATCCCCAACTCAGGTCCTATCCTTGATCGAGCTGGTTTACTCTCTCCTCTCCTTCTGCTCCCTGCTCCTGTGACTCTAAAAACACTCTCCAGATTCTGTTTCAGACTTCACTCTCTCTGCCGCCTCGCTGCTGCTGGCTGTTTACTCCAACGGGCAGTCTTAAACTTCTACTTTCTGGGAAATTGTTATCTCTGATTTCTTTCCATTCCGGTCTGCATCAGCTCTAAGGCAGCTCTGGTGGGGAAAGGGTTGGGCAGTTACTAGATTCCCTAGGCACACAAGCAGCCAAACCGTTGCTGTGTGCTGTCTTCATATCTTCCTCTCCGCTCTGACTGGCATGGCATGACAGCAGAGGCTCCTGCGGTGGCAGAGAGAGATCACCTCACATACACAGAACGCCCTGCCTGGCAGGCAACATCATGTCCATTTGTCTCTTTGTATATCTGTTTGTTTCCTTGCTGATACATAGCCACACGTCTATAAATAAATGCCATTCCAAAGCCGGGGGCGGTGGTGGCGCACGCCTTTAATCCCAGCACTTGGGAGGCAGAAGCAGGCAGATTTCTGAGTTTGAGGCCAGCCTGGTCTACAGAGTGAGTTCCAGGACAGCCAGAGCTACACAGAGAAATCCTGTCTCGAAAAAAAAAAAAAATGCCATTCCAGTCTAGGATGTAACATGTAGCTTCTACCACCTTTGGTAAGGGTAGAGTAAGAGAGGCAGAGCTACAGTTTCAGCACCATCTTAGTTAAGGGCAATCACATGACTGACTATAGTTTCAGTGCCATTTTAATTGAAGGCAGTCACATGACTATCCACCATCTTTATTATGGGCAGTCACTGCTTCACCACTGTCTTACTTGAGAACATCTTGACTTTAAGAAAAGGTCTCCAGCCGGGCAGTGGTGGCGCACGCCTTTAATCCCAGAACATGGGAGGCAGAGGCAAGCGGTTCGAGGCCAGCCTGGTCTACAGAGTGAGTTCCAAGACAGCCAGGGCTACACAGAGAAACCCTGTCTCGAACCCCCCCCCCCCAAAAAAAAAGCCAAAGATCGTAACCCAATCACAGAAGAATACACATGGTATGGACTCACTGATAAGTGGATATGAGCCCAAAAGCTGGCAATACCCATGATATAACTCACAGACCACATGAAGCTCGTAAAGAAGGAAGACCAAAGTGTGGGTGTTTTGGTCCTTCTTAGAAGGAATAACAAAATACTCATGGGAGCAGATATGGAGACAAAGTGTGGAACAGAGACTGAAGGAGGGGCCACTCGAAGACTGCCCCACCTGGAAGCCTGATATAGCTGTCTCCTGAGAGGCTCTGCCAGAGCCTGACATATACAGAGGCAAATGCTGGCAGCTAACCATTGAATTGATCATGGGGTTTCCAAAGGAGGAGGTAGTGAGAAGACTGAAGGAGCTGAAGAGGTTTGCTGCCTCATGGAGAGCCACAATACCAGCCAACCAGAGCTCCCAGGGTCTAAACTGCCAGCTTGGGAACACACATGGAGGAACTCATGGCTCCAGCTGTATATATAGTGGAGGATAGCCTTGTCTGGCATCGGTGGGAGAGGAGATCCTTGGTCCCATGAAGCTGGATGCCCCAGCATAGGGGAATTCGAGGGTGGAGAGGTGGCACTGGGTGGGTAGGTAGGAGTGGGTGGGAGGGCACACCCTCATAGAAGCAGGAGGAAGGGGGATGGTATAGGGGGTTTCAGGTGAGGGTGGAGGATGGGGAAAAAAAGAAAAACAAATGAAAAAGAAAAGGAGCATGCACTCCTAACCACTGAGCCAGCTCCCTAACTCCATGCCTTTGTCTTTAGAGGGCCATAGATATTCTAGAAACTTTCCTAAGCCAAGTGACAATTAAAAGTGCATTCAAAGCAGAACCCATGAGTTTGTTTTCTGAAATAAAAGGTCCATATGGCCCACAGATCTAAGACCTGTTAGGGGAAAAAAAAGGCCAAAGATCTCCACCTTGTAGATAGATTATTTTTGCCATTGTTAGTAAGTTACAATGTAACTTCTTGTTTACTAGATACAATCTAGAACAAATAATTAAAAACAGACACAAGCTGTCTAACTCAGATAAACTTACTAGATTTTAACTCTCAATCTTGTCAGAGATCTGCTAAATATAATGTTAACCGTTTGAACTTACTATGATAGACAGAGACTCCCAAATCTAGCAGTGACCCCGCAAAGGTCTGCGAGAAGATATGGGCACAGCGACAAAGGACTCTAACTGGATTGTGGTACCATAACCACTGAGAAAGACTGCTCCATTGCCTTGCCCACTGCCAAGGCTCAGCCT